ATTCCTTATTGTTGAAAGTCTTACATATGTCCCTTCGCCATCCCCCTCCCCCGCCACCATGCATTGATCCCCTCCACTCCATCCCCCTTACTCTCCTTTTAAATTTTTGGAGATAAAGAATTTTCTAAGTTATGAATAGTTTAAAACTTACAAAAAATACAAAGTAGAAAATAATGAGCACAAATATGTCCACCACCCAAATTTAATAGAAGATGTCAATTAAAAAGACTTCTTATGCCATGGCTGGTGTGGCTCAGTTGGTTGAGCGTTGTCCCACGCACTGAAAGGTCACTGGTTCTGTTCCTGGTCAGGGAACATGCCCAGGTTGCAGCCTTGATCCCCAGTGGGGAACATGCAGGAAGCAGGAGGCATCCGATTGATTTTTCTCCCTCTCATTGATGTTTCTCTCTTTTTTCCCCCTCTCCCTTCCTGCCTCTCTAAAGTCAGCAATTTGAAAAACCCTAACTTTACTCTGGTGCCGTGTTTTTTAGAAAAACCACTTCTTACTATGCCAATAAGTGCTATCACTAACCACCCAGTTCCCTATGCCAAAAACCCAGTTACTAAAATTGAATCCTTCTGATTTCTATCTGGTTAGTGCAGATAATGTTAATTTTATTCCCTAAATATCTCTCATATATGCTCAAATTTTCTGCATCCCACTGCCACTACTATGGCCCAGTGCTCCATCATCTCTCACGTGGTTTACTGCAAAATTCTTCCAGCAATTGCTTCATTCAACCATGTTTCCTTTCAAACAAAAAGCTCTGAGAGGCAGGACTGTGCTCATTCTTTTTTTTTTTAAGTATATTTTTATTGATTTTAGAGAGGAAAGGAGAGGGAAGAGAGATAGAAACATCAATGATGAGAGAGAATCATTGATCGGGTGCCTCCTGCACACTTCACACTGGGGGTGGAGCCTGCAATCCCGGTATGTGCTCTGACAAGTAATCAAACTGTGACCTCCTGGTTCATAGGACGATGGGACTTCTTATGCCGTGGCTGGTGTGGCTCAGTTGGTTGATCATTGTCCCACGCACTGAAAGGTCACTGGTTCTATTCCTGGTCAGGGAACATGCCCAGGTTCCAAACTGGCTAGGACTCATTTTTGATCTACCACTTAATCTCCAGCCCCCAGCACTTATCAGGAACTCAATAAATATTTTCAGATAAATTAATGAATGCATTTTTATGTACTATGTAATTTACTTCATCAACGAGATGTGTTTCAATGGTTTCTGTTGCAGAACGAACATGAAGAAACATAATCCATCACTGGTGGTAGAATTATCTTTCCCAGACTTGGTCATCAATGTAGGAGAAGTAACTCTTGGGGAAAAGAACAGAAAGAAGCTGCAGAAAGCTCAGAGAGATCAGGAGAAGGAGAAAGTTTCGCAGGCTGCCTGTGCTTTATTAAACTCAGGAGGAGGAGTGATCCGGATGGAAATGGCTAACGGCGATGAGCATCCTGTGGAGATGGGGCTGGATTTGGAAGAGTCTTTGAGAACACTTATTCAGTCTTTAGATTTTCAGGCTTTCTTTGAGTATAATCAACAAGGGAGGTGTTTTTACATTTTTGTTAAATGTTGGAACACTGACTTTTTCCCTGAAGATCGTTTCAAGCCCCGCATTTGCAGCCTGGATTCTTCATTACACCTTAGATCTGCCACCTCTGTGCTTTCCATGGATTCAAGAGAGGCATTTCGTTTCCTGGAAACCAAGAAAAGAAATGCAAACCTTTTGGAGAAAGAACCTCCTAATAAAATTCCCAGGGTTGCAAAGCAAAACTTCCATGACTCGAATCCTGCTCACCTAATTTTCCTAAGAGACCAGCTTAAGCATGGAGAAATCCTGCCTTTTCCTGAGTCTCAATATGTAGAGTTTAAACAGTTCTCTACGAAACGCATCCCAGACCGTGTAAAAGACATAATTCCAAA